GCTCCTCGATTATAAGCGCATCCTTTTAGCCTTATGGAATATAAGCGCACCCCTTGTACCTCACACATTATAAGCGCCATCTTTTTTTTTTGGTTTCATTCTCTACGTTAAGCTGTTACAATTAATATCCTAAGGAATTTCTACAAAATCTTTAGAAATTTTAACACATTTTCGCATGTTCTACATATTCTACTAGAGTTTCACATCCTACACATTTCTAGGGTTCCTACACAATCTACGCATCACCCTCAGCAGTGGCAGAGCCATCCTGGGCCGTCTCACCATCCGACTCTGGCTCGTCTACGTTGTTGCAGCAGAATCCATCTGCTGCAATCTCGTCGTCAAGTTCAACTTCGCCCTTGACGGCGTCCCGGCGGTGCTGCAGGCAGAGTCCGTCCTGTGACCTGTCCAAGGCGTTGCTGATGCCACAGGTGAGAAACGAGCGCTCAATCAACTCCTTGGGCACCGCCTTCCACGCCTTGGAGATCCACTTCAGTGTCAGCTCTGGTGGTGGCTTGCGGATGTTGCTTGCCACACATGGAAAGATCCAGATGTTAGAATAGGGTGGGAGCATTTAAAAATCGAACAACACTTGAATTGAGGCTCACCTCTTTCGGTCAGGCAGTCAACACCCTCGCTCTCGAACCATTCCTGGTACAGTTGGCGCACAGCTGCTTTGAAGGAGCGGTTAACCGCGATGTCTAGGGGCTGCACCTCCGATGTGCAGCCAGCTGGTATGACGGCAGGGACGATATGCAGCTCGCCGAATTTCGCCCTCACTTCATCAGTCAGGTGCCTGCGGTAGGAGTCAAGTACCAGCAACGCTCTCCGACTGCGCACTCCGAACCTTGGGTTGACGTACGGGCTCACAGTTCAAGCCATGCAAGGACGCCGTCCGCATCCATCCATCCGTTGGGATGTGCGGCGACGACGACATCTGCACATCCGAACAAGGCGTCAGTTAATAACTGCATTGGTTAAAAAAAAACAGCAACAATAAACTTAACCGTTACTGCACAAGCTGCTCTGCTTACCGGAGGGGAAATTCCCCTTTGGGACATTCTTGCTCTTAAAGAAAACCCAAGGCTTGAGCTTCTCGCCGCAGGCGGTGCAGGCGAGCATCACCGCCACGCGTTCCTTTTGGTAGCCGCCGCTGCGGATGGGCACGGAGCGGACCCCCACCTCCTTGACTGTGCGTTCAGCTGGCATTTCGAGCCAGAGCGGAGTCTGATCCGCATTGATGATCCACCGGTTGTCGATGCCGTACTGTCGGCGTGTGTGGCGCACGAACTTCCAGAAGTTCCGCACCTGCGTCTCACACTCTGAAAGGGACGGGGAGACAGAAACGAAAAAGGTACAGTAGGACAGTGAACAACGGTTAAAGCGATAAACGAGAACGATGACATGAGCACCAACTCACCCGAGGAGAGCTTCTGGCCGACTCGGGTCTTCGCTCGGGTGGTGAGATTCCAGCGGCGTCGAAAGCGCTCGGTCCACCTCTGAGATCCCGCCCATTTTACCTCAGGCTGCAGGCGGGCGACCGACATGGCGAGGCACTTCTTCCGGGCGGCAAGAACACGCGAGTAGACCTGGATCTCCATGTCACGGTACCACGATGACAGACCACGCCCGTGAAGACGCTTGCGAGCCCCATGCGCGCCCTCCAGCTCACCCTTCCGCGATTTCCACTCTGCAAGGGACTTGCGGGAGATACCAGTTTCGCGCGCCATTTTCCGCACACTCACAGCACCGAACTCCAACTGTGCAATCCACTGCAGCTTCTCCTGAGAAGTATAGGAGTTGTGCTTGTGCGTTGAAGGCCTGCTCCTGGGAGACGGTGGGTGGGCATCACGATTCTGGGTAGAGGGGTGGGGCCGTTTTTTATTGGGCGGGGGAAAACTTGGGACAGGCAAGTCCTCGGGAAGACCGTCGGCCGCCCACCACTCAACGTCGTCTTCTGCGCCCGTGGCGGATTCGTCGTGCGGGCAGTCTTCCGGGTCTCCCCAGCGCGGCGACAGACCGGGGCCGGTTTCATCTTCGTCGCTGCGCTCGGGCTCAGGCTCGGCCTCGGGCTCGGAGATGTAGACGTCGAAAGCAGAGTAGCCGCGAGGGAGAAGCTGGAGTACGGGCACACCGTTGATGACTACGTTAGGAGGAGCGGGAGGAATAGGAGGCGCTGGAGGAGCAGGAGGCGCTGGAGGAGCAGGAGGCGCTGGAGGAGCAGGAGGCGCAGGAGGAGCAGGAGGTATGGGAGCCGGGCGACTCTGCCACTGCGAGTAATCGGGAGTTTTGGCAGCAGCACCTCGGCGGTTAAAGAGAAAGTGAGTGCCTGGAAGGCCCGCCATGGCGGAGGCAGGCCGAGAGTAAACCAGAAATCTGGAGAAAACGGTGAGAATGAAGCCTGTTTGAAAGCCTAGGCCGAGACCCCTCCAACTTCGCGGCCCGAGTTCCTCTGCGGGGAAAGGGGGGAAACTGTCAAGATCTCCCCGCAGATGAGCTGATGTGGTGGGGTCCGAGCCGTGGTGGCAAGGAATCTTGCCGCATATGCTCCTTTCATGGTTGTACATCGTCGAGGTTGGCACGGCACTCGACCATGATTGGGCAGTCGCACACTACACAGCCTGTGCGTTGCATGGGCGAGATGCATGTTCGATGCATCTGCCCATGCCAACAAGGCATGGCGGTCATGATGCGACGCCTTGTTGGCCATTTCACGAATTTTTCATGCACGGGTCGGAATGTTCTGGATGTGGACTGAATCCCCTTTTGAATAAGCTTCAATAATATGTAAAAAGAACTTATTTCACATTTGCCATTTTATAGACGCCGACGCTTATAGAAATCCTCAATTATAAGCGCACCCCCTAAAAAACAGTGTTTTATTACAACCCCATGGGCGCTTCTATCCGGGGGCTGATGGTAACTTCGCGCGCACTGTTTCACCAAACCACGCACTGCTGGCCCGGCCGTGTCGGCCTACGCTTCGGGACTAGCCCGAACCTCGCTGCCAACGTAGCACTAGCTAGCTCGCTCGGGCGGCGTTACCGTTTGCATGTTTCGCGTATAAATGTTCGCTCATGCCTTCGCTCACATTTTGTACTGGACACTTAGGGTACATTCCGCTCTGGACACTTTCTCAAAGAAAGTGTCGCGATCGAGTGTACCGTGCCGAACCGAACTAAACCAGAGACGCGAACATTTTGACAATGTTTGAAAGTAGGGTGTAATTCGGTGGAATACGATGCAGTGTGGTAGAATCGATTCAGACACTTTCGACTGGGACATGTCCAGCGCGGAATATACCCTTAGTGCAATCCTCGCTACCTAGATCCATTGCACCCGTAACAGATGCTAACGAAAATGAGTAATTTTGAAGTTGTGCTCTCGAGATTACTCGTTTGTGAAAGCGGAAATGGTAATCAACTTCCAGGGAATGAGATGGATGCTGATGAGGGACTTGCGTGAAGTGCGTATCCAATCAAAGCGCAATCTGGTTCTTCGGTGCTCGCAGGTGTCACTCCCTCACCAAGGGGGAAACCTCGCATCCACAACTGGCAGCTGGACCACACGAGGGTAGTAGGGCGTGAACAAAGAAATTTGGGCCACAATTCTGGTCGAAACTCGGGACGCGAAACCCTACTGGATCGAGAGGCCCCGCCGGGACGCGACCAGGGCTAATTTTTGGTTTTGGCCAACTCTTACGGCCAGTGTAGCTCATATGCAAAAACCTTATAATCAGAGTAGCTCACTTTGAAATTCCTGATCGGTCAGGGTTTTTCCAGGTTTTGAAAATTTTACCCTGGCTCATCAGTGTAACAATTTTTTGCGCCCTTGTTGAAATTGTTTCAATACAGCACACTTTCACATTATCAATCCTCATCATCAGACATCCCACACTGCACTTCGTGGTCACTTTCCTCTTCGGGCTCGGGGACTTTCTCTTTGCCCTTTCTCTCCGCTTCGGTCGGCAGCGCCACTGATTTTGCTGGCCACTGTACGAACTGTACGGTAACGACAGTTGGCATAGGGGATTCCGAGGTTTCGGGGAAGGGGGGGTTTGGGAAGGGGGGGGGGGGGGGGGCCGCGGGGCCTGGAACTCGCTTCAGGGTAGAACTCGATAACGAAAACGGCAACCCTGGGCGACAGTGTAGCATATTCGTAAACTCTGGCACATCAGGGTAAATGGAGGTCCTGAAAAAATTACCCTACCCCATCAGTGTTACTACCTAAAAACCACCCTGTTCATCAGGGCAACAGGGTCATTTACCCTGATAAAATAGGCCCTGGACGCGACGCGAAACTCAAGCCCCCACACAAAAGTAGGATGTCCATTCAGTGCACTCTAGGGGTTCGTGTCAACTTCTAGTCGTTGATGCTGAACGTCCAACTTCGTGTCAATCACGCTGACCTGAAGTCTGATACGAGCTCCGAAACGCCCAACATGTCACTCTCGCGAACACCCGCCCACCTCCAATATGTCACAGCTCGACATCGCCGCCACCTTCTTCTCCACGGCCAAATCTGGGACTCACATGGGGAACACTGTGCAACCAGGCAGCGCAAGATCAAAACCCAAGATCACCTCGCGAAAGCCTTCCCCCCCACCACGCTCTTACTCACCACGCCCTGACTGCCATGCCGTGATGTGAGCAGCGAGCACGCGCAACAATAGCTTCTCCGCGTCGCCAGCCATTCGCGTTGTGCGCTCCGATCAGGATCGTCTGCGATTCATCGGCTCGCCCGGTTTCAGACGACACTGTGCGATGAGTTAGTTATCTAAGAACTGCGAGCATGTAGCGATCTGGATGAACGTTACTTCCTGTGCGACTGGCAATGAGTGCGATTGCTGCCGTGTTTCGAGTTCTCCGAAACATAATCATCAGGACTGTGCTGTTACCCTACCTGGACTAGATTCCACCAGAGACGTCGGGGTTTTCCGCTATTGGTCTTTATCCTTAGTCCCTGCCTCTATCGATCAAGTACGCAGTGTCATTCGCGCCATGGCAGCTATGGTCAGCAGCCACAGGTGACGTGGGTTTGTAGTCCACGTTAGCAGTCGCGCCTGTGCGATCATATCGCCGACAGCACTGGCAGGCCTATCTACAGTCGCGTACGGCATATCAGTCTTTCTGACGGCATAGTATCAGTGTATTTGAAGGACGATCAGTACACGTGACGATCTACTTATTTCCTTCCTTTTCCCTGTCGGCGCGACTGCTACTACTGCTGTCGGCAGAGTGCATCGACGGCGCGGCGGCATGGCCAGCAGCGGGGAGCGCGGTGGCGGAAACCCGCGCAATCCTGGGGGCAGGGGAGAGCGCGCGGAGCAGATGCGGGCGGAAAACGGCTGCCACGCGGACGGGGAGTGCGCGCCCAGCGAGAGGGGAGAGGCAGCGGGGGCGACGGCCCAAGCGGGCAGCGCCCCTGCCGATCGGCAGCGCGGAGAGGAGCCGGCAGCAAGCGGCGATGCGGCAAACGGGTGGCTTGTCCTTGACGGCGAGCGGAAAGCGGCAGGGTCGAGCGGGGTCGCGGAGGCGGGTCGGCATCGCAGCAGCAGCCTCGGCGATTCCCCGCAACAGGTAGACGACGAGTATGCGGAGCCGTATCAGTTCGCGCAGTCGCTCGTGTCGCTGTCGCACAACCCCGACTCGCCCGTCATCAGCAACTGCGCCACGTGCGGCCACCACGGACCGCCTGGATCCTGCGCATGTGCGCCGCTGACTCCGCTTCGACAGCGCGGCGCAGCAGCGGCGGGATCGGGCGGACGTGACTATAGCGACGTGCCGCAGTTGAAGCTGGAGTCAGGGGGTACCGCGGACGCGCAAGCGGCGCAGAGAACCCGCGTTGGGGTGACAGCGGCGTCGGCAGCAGGGGGCGAGGCGGTACAGGAGAGAGGCGAGAAGCGCATGGCGCAGCAGCAGCAGCGCGCGCTCAGATTCGCGTCCAGCGTGGACGTGCGGAGGATCGCGGCGGGCGGCAGCAGCGACAAGCTGGCGAACGGCGCGCGCGCGGAGGGCGGGGAGAGTAGGGCGCAGCGGCAGGTGGCGCAGAAGGCGTGGGCGGAGGGGTTCGACGCGATCGAGCGCGGGCTGGTGGCGGCGGTGAAGGGGTTCGCCATCGGCGCGGGGCTGCGCGGCGGACTGTCGCTCTTCAGCCTGCTGGGCCGACTCAGACGACGCCGCGCGCGCATTGCCTCGTGAGTGCGCCGAACCGTGCCGGGGCAACGCACGCGCGCAGGGTGGAACGGGGCTAGAGCGGGGAGAGGGGGTGGTACAAAGGCACGTGAGCACACGGGCACATGGGCGCACGGGCACGTGGTAAACGTGGGCATGGATGTAGGCGAAGGTGTATGGCAGGGGTCATTGAGGCCTCTTGTGGCTCGTGATTCCGCGAGTGCGCATGCAATGCGTGCTGTCCGGTCCCACGCCCCACTCCTGTGTGCACTGTCCGCCCACTTTCATAGGCCCTTCTCACCGCTCGCGCTGCCTTGCGTGCGATGCTTTGTGGTTCTTTGCGGTGCGTTGTGGTGCCTTGTATGCGGTGCGTTGTGGTGCCTTGCATGCGGTGCATTGTGGTGCCTTGTATGCGGTGCTTGTGGTGCCTTATGTGCATGGCGGTACCTGCAGGGGCGACAAGGACGCAGCAGCGGCGGCGGGCGTGTGGGAGGGCGTGGTGGGGGTGGTGCGCGAGGGTGTGCGGTACGGCATGTTTGTGGGCACGTTCGCCGGCTCATACTGCGTGCTGGACGAGGGCATTGCTGCCGTGGGCGGACACGAGAAGTACGTGCATGTGCCTGTGCGCGGATGTATGCACGCGTGCCGTGCGTGTATTCGTGTGTGGGCGGTGGGGGTTGGATGGGAGGTGAGTTTTGAGTGGGGGAAGAGTGTGCTGGATGAGGGCATGTGGATGGATGCTCAAGGATGTGTGCGTGTGCTGTGGTGTGCGTGGGCGTGTGTGTGCGTTTGGACAGGGAGGGGTGGGGGAGTGGTTGATATCTGTGCGTGCGAGCATGCACGCACTCCTCGCCCTACATCCATCACATCAACCGCGGCGCACAATCACTCCCGTTCACTCCATACTCTCCGTGCCATGTGCCCTTGCCTCATCGTGTCACACCACATGCCTCCACTCCCTTCGCCTCCCCACTCCACCCCTGCTTCTCCCCGCTCGCCCGCCCTCTCCCCGCACGTTCTCACCCCTCCTCTCCGTTGCCCCACACGCGCACCCCTGCCTGAGCAGGACGCGCAGGTGGCGTGCGCTGCTGGCAGGGGCAGCAGCAGCGCCATCACTCCTCCTAGCGGGTCCCAACACGCGGCACACGAGTCTCGCGCTGTACGTGCTGCTGCGTGCCGTGGTGCTGGCGGTGCGCTGCGGCATCAAGAGCCCCTCCTGGGGCTGGCTCTTCCGCCCGCTCACCTGGCGCCATGGCGACACTCTGCTCATGTGCATCTCCGCTGCTCAGATCCTGTCAGTCCCGCCACTCCCCCCCCTCTGCCAGCCCTCCCCCTCTGCCTCACGCCCCCCTGCCCTTTCTCCCCTGTGCGTCCCCTCACCTGGCGCCATGGCGACACGCTGCTCATGTCCATTCCATCTCCGCTGATCAGGTCCCGCCACTTCCCCCCCCTCTGCCCTCACTTCGTTCTGTCCTCAGTTCCCCTGCCCTCTCTTCCCTCTGCCTTCCCTTCCCTCTACCTCCCTCCCCCTCTGCCCTCACTCCCCTCTGCCCTCCCTCCCTTCTACACTCCCTCCCCTCTACCCTCCCTCCCCTCTCTGCCCTCCCTCCCCTCTACCCTCCCTCCCCTCTGCCCTCCCTCCCTTCTACAATCCCTCCCCTCTACCCTCCCTCCCCTCTGCCCCCCCTCTCCCTCTGCCGTCTCTGCTGCTCTGTCCGTCCCCGTGTCTCGTTCGCTTTGCTGCATGCACCAACTGTGAATCGCTACCGTGTGCTTGGGGAATGTGTGTGTGTGTGCATGTTCCCAACCCTTTTCTGCTGCCGCTCACGACTCCCGCTGCTCTCTGTCACCACATTCGCTTACACTACAGCTGCTGCCACGTGCAGTGAAGACACCCAAAGTGTCTTAGGGTTACTTCACCCTGAGTGTGCACTGAAGGCTCCTTCCTCATTCTCTCTCGCACACACACACTCATCCCCATCACTCCCCCTTTCCCCATCTAAGCCCCCTTATACAATCCCCCTCTCTCTCCCCCTCTTACCATGCAACCCCTCACCCTCCGCAACCCTTCTGCCCCTTCGTTCCCCTTCTCTCTCCCCTCCTGCCTCATGCATCCTCCTCACCCCTTCTCGCCCTCCATTCCTGAATCCCACTTTCGCCCCCGCAGCTCCGCGTGGATGCTAGAGCCGCACAGCCTGCCAGCAACATACGTGTCCTTCCTCAACAAGCACGGCGGGAAGCCTCCCTGCGTATACCAGGCCATGAACCAGATGGCGCTGCAGGGGGGCGTCTCCCCCTCCTGCACTGCGGACCTCGCTGCCATGCTTGCGCGCAATGGGGGGAAGGGCGGGGGGAGCGGGGGGAAGGGGGGATGAAGCTGCCGTGGACGCGCGCTGTGCCGGCGCATGAGGCCGTCATTCCCTGCGATGTGAGCCACATGCATGCATGCATGCCCTCCATGCCATCCATGCCCGCCATGCTCGCTGCAGTCCCCACCCGCATTCCTGTTCGCTGCCTTAGCCTCTCCCTCCTCTCTTCACAAGCCTCTTCTGTCCGCACTGCAACGCCATGGCTTGCTTGTGTGCACTCTTCCCTCCAATCCACATCATCCATGCATTGCTCCCTTCTTCTTCACTCGCCTTCCGTCCACTGCTTTCAAGCCCACAACTCGTCACCACCACGTCTTCCCTCCCCTCCCCTCCGCTCCCCTCCCCTCCCCTCCCCTCTCCGCTCCCCTCCCCTCCCCTCCCCTCCCCTCCCCTCCCCTCCCCTCCTCTCCCGTCCCCTCTCAACCGTCCCTGCCCCACAACCCCTCCAGTTCCTGCACCCGGGCGGGTGGTGCTGGTGGCACTTCCTCTCCTTCCTACCAGCGGCGTACATGAGGGCCGTGCCCGTCTACGTGCCAGTCTACCTCGTGCCTGCACTGCTCGTGCACCGCTCCTCCCTCCTCCGCCAGTGAGTCCCCCTAGCCGAATTGCTCTGTCTGTCCCTCGGGCGCAAGTCTCGGTACAATCTTGAAGACGAGTGAAAAACAATGTGAAAAATAGCGTTTCCGGCGATTGATGTGACTGAGCTCGTGTGCGAGCTTTCGAGGGTGCGAGTGCGCCCTGGACTTGCATAGTAGGTATGCAAAGCTCCCCTCTGTTCTCCTCCCCTACCCCACTGTCCGTACCCCCCCACGTTCTGCCCTGCCCGCCAGGCCTCTGTCCATTGCACTGCGCACGGCTCTGGGAGCAGCGCGCTCCTCACTCTTCCTCGCCACCTACTGCGGCACTGCCTGGTGCTGCTCCCCCTCCCCTCCTTCCTCTCTGTCCCCCTTCCCCCCCTTCTCCTCCGCCCTCCTTTCCCCACTTCCCCTCCGCCCCCCTCCCCCCCCCTTCCCTCCTCCCCTCCTCCCCTCCTGCCCGCTTCTTTCCTCCCTCCTCCTCCTCCTCCCCTCCCCTCCTCCCCTTCTCCCCGTCTCTCTTCCTCCCCTCCTCCCCTCCTCCCCTTCTCCCCTCTCTCTCCTCCTCCCCTCCTCCCCTCCTCCCCTCCTCCCCTCCTCCCCTCCTCTCCTCCTCCCCTCCTCCCCTCCTCCCCTCCTCCCCTTCTCTCCTCCTCCCCTCCTCCCCTCCTCCCCTCCTCCCCTCCTCCCCTTCTCCCCTCCTCCCCTCCTCCCCTCCTCCCCAACCACCTTGCTCCTCGTGCCTCCATTTGCTGCTCGTCTGCACATCCCTGCTTCCACACACGACTCTCGTCTCCTGCGTCCAATGCATTCTCTCTCCTCTGCTCCCGTCCACCCATTCCTACAAGCCCGTTCACCCGTTCACCCTTCCACGCGTTTGCCTTTTCGGCCGGTCATTCTTTTGCCCTTTTCGTCATGAGCCTTGCCCCTGACCCTCTCCTCCCTCCCTCTTGCCATCTGCTCCATCTGTCATCCCATGTATCTGACCAGCCCCCTTTTGTCTAGTCCCTTGACATCCTGCTTCCTTCGCTCCAATGTCCTGCAATCACATGCGGCCCAGTTCCTCCGAGCCTACTCAATGCCATTTACTCACCGCCTTTTGTGCCGCCCAATGCCACGCATGCGGCCCTTCTCTCTTCCAGGTTCTGGACGTGCAACATTCACCAGCTGGTGGGCAAGTGCACACGAGCGACCATGGCTGGTGGCGCGGTGAGAGCGCCATGCATTGAAACGGGTGGGGAAGGGGGAACAGAGGAAGAGGGGGGGGGGGGAAGAGGGGGGGGACAGTGCAACATCGTGGAGCACGTTGGAGTTCCGGTGCTTAGGGAAAAGGGGTTTGTGCCATGACTTCAGTACTCGAATTTGAGGGCTAGATAGGTGGCGTACCTCCCTACCTGCAATCCTCGCCTTACATCTGTATCACCCATCCCTCCTCTCATCTGCGTGCTCTCCTCACACGCTTCCTTCTCCTCGTCTCCCCGTCCTCCATCCCTCTTCACCCCAAACTCTCCATCCTCCCACTCACCCCCTCCCCCGGTCTCCATCCACCCCTTTTTGTTTCTGTGCGGGCTGGCAGTGCCACTGGAGAAGGAGTCCTATCACATGGAGCTGGCACTCTATTGCTACTCACGCGCCATCCCATCTGCTTTCATCTGCCTCGCCTCCCTCCCACACCTCCCCTCCCTTACACCCCCCCTGCACAGTTCCTGTGCGGGCTGGCAGTGCTGCTCGAGAAGAAGTCTCGCCGCATGGAGCTAGCGCTCTACTGCTTCTCGCGCGCCATCGAGTCCTTCTTCATCTGCCTCGCCTCCTGGGGGATCCTCCCGCCCCTCTCCTCTCTCGCCATCTTCCCCGCCCTCGCCAAGCACTACCTCTCCACCAAACCTGCTGCCGGAGCACCCGGAGGCTCGGCAGCAGCGGTACGAGCGGGGATGGGCAGCAGAGCAAGCGCAGGGGGGTGCAGGGGGGGAGGCATCGTGAAGGAGTCGCTGAGCGGAGTGCTCCCAGTGGCAGCAGCGGTGCTGCAGCCGCACGCGCTCCTAGACGTGGCGCTACTGGCAGCAGCAGCGGGGGTGATCATGCAGTGCTACCAGAGCGAGAGGGACGTGTTCCGGTCCAAGTACCTGAACGTACTGGACTGGATCTTTGGAGTTCCCAAGGGGCAGAAGGCTGCTTCGGAGCTCAACCGCCGCCGGTCTCCCCAAGTGCACGCGCTGGAGCATGCTAAGCCGCGCTCGCTCTCGCTCCCGGCCTTCTCCCTGCCCGCTTCTGCTGCTTCTGCTGCTGCTGCTGCTGCTGCTGGTGGTGGTGGTGGTGGTGGTGGTGGTGGTGGTGGTGGTGGTGGTGGTGGTGGTGGTGGTGGTGGTGGTGGTGGTGTTGCGTCTGGTGCCTCAGCAGGTGGTGCTGCTGCTGCTGCTGCCTCTGGCACCTCTCGTGCCTTTGCTGGCATTCTTCCGCCTGCCAAAGCGCCTCGTGCTGGCGTCGCTGCTGCTCCTGGTGCTGCTGCTGACAGCTGGTTGAGTGGCAGTGGCAGTGCGTGTGGTGGTGAGCATGGGCAGTGCAACGGGCATCTGAGTGCTGATAACGACAAGTGAATGCTCGAGGCAGGAGTGGAAGGCACAAGGGAGTATTAAGTCAGGAAACAGGCAATTGAGTTATTATTGATGGTGCATCTGCGTCAGGTTCACTTATGCAAGTTGCATAGCACACACACACTAACCTCGGTCTAGTTCTCTAACCCTGGTTTAGATGTGCAAGAGTTGCTGCGATTGGGAGGACTGAGAATCATTTTGGACTATGGGGGCATAGATTATAAGAGGCTGAGGTATACATTTCTGGTAAATGGTACCGTATACATTTTTAGAGTGTTTTAAATCCCTAAAGAAGCCAAAAACAGAATCCAGCCAAATGCTTGTGGGTAATTTGGAAGTCCTATTCTGTTTATGCTGCCTTAGTTCCTTTCCCTACATGACTTACACTTCATGAGGCCTAAAGTAATAAGATATGCAGGTAACGATATGTAACCTTTCCTAGAACAGTAGTATGAAGCTAACTGTTCACCCCGCTGAACTGTACTACCGGCGGCGGCGGCAGAAGAGTATGTTACGGTACTAAGGGAGCAGCAGCATAAACAACATGCCTCAAGAGGCACTGCTTCTGCACTGCCAGTCTGCGCTGCGCACACACACACATGTAATTCTACCGTTATGTACCGTAATAACAAATGAGATGTGATGGACAAAGCCCATGCTCCTAGAGGACCACAGCCATCACAAGGGAAGCTCACTACCACCATCGGTCACAGCCACAACCCCTGCCCGTTTCACTCCTGTTCCCAGCACATCCTCTCTCCTCCCGTCCATTCGTATCCTCCATTCCACACACCCTTCACCACCCCACCCCCTTCACCCCTCACACCACATCCCTCCCCACCCCTCCTCACCCCTCCTCACCCACCCAGCCCCACCCTTCACCACCTCTACACTCAAGCAGCGCCAGCAGTGGGGGTGGTAACAGAGGTGGGCAGTCCCTTGGCCTGCATGGTCTTGAGGGTCGACGCCAGCCAGTCCAGCCCCTCAAACAGCCCCTCGCCCTTGGGCGCGCTCGTGCCCTGGATGTGCCAGTACCGGTTGCGCAGCTGCTGCAGCCCCATGATCTCACACACCTCTAAAGGGGACATGGCGCCCTTCTGCGTGCGGGGGAAGTGGGGTGTGTGTGTGGGGGGCGGGGGGTGGGGTGGGTGGTGGGGAAGGAGAGGTAGGAGCGGAGGGTGAGAAGGACGGGGGGAGATGGATGTGAATCAGACCTTCGCCCTTGGGTGCCCTGAGCTCGTGCACTGGATGTGCCAGTAGCAGCCTCATTACTCAGCACGCCTCTAAAGGCGAAATGGCGCCCTTCTGCAAGAGGGGGGAGAGGGGGCAGGTAGGTGACGGGGGGCTTTTGAGGTGTCTGAAAAGCTGCACCTGCGCAGGCCCTAAGCCAGTAGCGGTTGCATATCTGCTGCAGGCCAATGATCTCACACACACACCTCCAGAGGCGACATAGCGCCCTTCTGTGCGAGGTAAGGTGGTGGGGGAGGAGGAGGACGGGTGGTAGTGGTTGGATGAGGAGGGGAAGGAGGGAGAGAGGAGAGGGGGAGGGGAGAGGGGGAGGGGAGAGGGGGAGGGGGAGAGGAAGCGGCGGACGAGGGATGAGGTGGACAAGCTAACATGGTGGGTGGAGTGGGATGGGATCATGGGAGGGGTGGAGGAACCAGCGGTAGCAGGCAGAGATGAAACACGCACATAGCTTGAAGTGATAGTCTATGGGGACAAGGTGCTTATGGAGGAAAGACGAATGACGTGAGTCCAATAGAAGGAAGGGCGACGGGGCGAGACTGAAAGGGGGCAGAGGAAGGGAGGGAGGGAAGAGGAAGGAGAAGGGCGTGGAGCAGAGGGAGGAGGAGCAGGGGCGAGCGAGCGGGGGAGAGAGCGGGGGGGAGGGGAGAGAGAGAAAGAGAGAGAGGGCGAGCACTGACAAGGTCTTGCTTGTTGGCGAAGACAAGGAGAGCACTGTTGCGCATGAGGGGATCGTTCACTATGCTCTGCATGCACGGGCCGAGAGGACAGCATGGGATCATGGGAGGGAGCAGGAAGGGAGAGGGATGGGGTGGGCGGGGGGTGCGGGTGAGTGATGGAAAGAGTAGAGTGAAGTTACTGGGAGATGAAGAAAAATTGGTCGGGACTCAAGGGGGAGAGCGGTTGTGAACGGTGGAAGGCAAGATGGGGAGAAGGTGGGACGGCAGGAGGGAGTAGGGAGAGATGATGGTGGGAGGGGAGGAAGGAGAGGAATGAGAAACACAGGGACATATGCAGGCGTAGGCTTGGCATGGATGCAAGTCAACATGACAACACGTGTATGGGCATGCCTCATGAGACGGCTGTGTGTGAGTAAGAGGCGGAGAAGAGGGGAGAGAGAGGGCGGTGCAGTGGCGCAGGCAGGCGGGCAGGCGAGTGGGTAAGTGAGTGAGTGAGTGAGTGAGTGAGTGGGTGAGTGAGTGAGTGAGTGAGTGAGTGAGTGAATGAGTGAGTGAGTGAGAGAGAGAGAGCAAGCAAGGGGTGACCTGGAACTCCTGTGCTGCTTGCCGCACTCTCTCCCTGTCCAATGAATCCACCACGTAGATCTGAGGGGCGCGCATGCATGCATGCATGCATGCACACATGCACACATGCACACATGCACACATGCACACAAGCACACATGCACATGCACACACATGCGCAACACACGAACACACACATGCAAACGCATACAGACATGCACGTGCATTCGCACACGCACATCCCCACCATAAAAGGCACACAAATACCCATCCACGCCAAAACACAGGCCCACGCACACAGGGAGCCGGGGGTTAGAAGGCATTTTCGAGTCGACTAAATATAGTTGACTCAAGAATAATAATAAAAAAAAATCCACAACCCCACGCACACAGGGAGCCGGGGGTTAGAAGGCATTTTCGAGTCGACTAAATATAGTTGACTCAAGAATAATAAAAAAAATCCACAACCCCACGCACACAGGGAGCCGGGGGTTAGAAGGCATTTTCGAGTCGACTAAATATAGTTGACTCAAGAATAATAAAAAATAAATCCACAACCCCACGCACACAGGGAGCCGGGGGTTGGAGAGCAGCAGATGGCATGGCATGGCACAGAGGCGTGGCACATGCACACGCACAAAACAGTGCAGCAAACACCCTCCCACGCACGCAGCATGAAGCCCTCACCACTTGGCAGCTTGGCACAGGCAGAGAATCGGACACGAGCAGGCTGGGTGCGGAACGGAGCGAGGCACGGGGGCACGCAGCAGGCAGACGCACGCGTGGGGTAGAGAGCGCGCGGGGCTTACAAGAGCGTCAGTGTTGTTGAAGTAGTTGCGCCACATGGGGCGCAGCTTCTCCTGACCCCCCACGTCCCACACGGTGAACTGCACGTTCTTGTACTGCACCTTCTCCACGTTGAAGCCTGCGCGAAGGAAAAGGGAGGGGATTCACAGACACCGCACACACCGTGAACTTCTTATGCTGCACCTTCTCCACGTTGAACCTTGCCCGCACGTGCCATGCGCACCGCAAGCACACGCGCGCACACGCAGCGTGGGACGGAAGAGGGGTAGGGGACGGGGAGGGGGGAGCGGCAGGGAAGGAGGGGGAAGTGGGGGTGGACGGGATTGGCGCACGGCGCGGAGGCTGAAAGAGGGAGAGGTTGAAGGTGAATGGTGAGTGTATGCCACTAGATGTTGACTGGTACGGGTATATGGTGGGGCGGCGCGGCACGCACCTATGGTGGGGACGGTGGAGAGGATCTCTCCGATGTGCAGCTTGTACAGTATCGTCGTCTTGCCCGCCGCGTCCAGCCCCAGCATCAGCACCTGCCGCGCGCACGGCACGAGGGACGCACGGGGGGAACGAGGGAGCGCGATTGAGAGCGAGGGAGAGCGAGGGAGGGAGGGAGGGAGAGGGACGGGGGGGAAGGGGGGGAGGGGGGGAGGGAGAGGGGCGGGGCGGGAGGAGGGGGGGGACGGGTGGACGGTTGTCGGGAAGTGTAGTAGGAAGAGAGGAAGCGCTGGGCAAGTGAAATCTGGATGTTTCCTGCTTATTACCGTGATGACAGCAACTACGCGTCTAATCGAACTACGGGGATGCGGGACCAGCACGACCCGACGCGGGACGAGGCGGTAGCGTGCGCGAGCGCGCGCGCACGCGTCGGGACGCGATCGCACGCGCAAACAATAGCGAGACGTGCAACTTGCCACAACAATGGCGCCTTGCGGCTCCCGCTCTTGTGTAAAACTCTCCGAAGGAATGCGACGGAACGAAGGAATGCGCCTCCGGATGGAACGGATGCACGAGTTCATGCTCGTGGCTCCCGTGGAACAGATGGGCGTCGTACACCGTGGCTCCTCCCGCTCCCTACCCTCTCACCCCCCTCTCCCACCCTCCCCCCTTCCGTATCCCTCTCCCTCACAACCGCCCGCTCAACAATTGCCCGCTCACCCACCGCCCTCTCACCCACTGCCCGCTCACCCACTGCCCGCTCACCCGCCGCCCGCTCACCCGCATCTCTCGATTCCCGAACAGCGTGTCGAACAGCTTCCGAAACGCCTGCCCCATGCTGGCCGACCGCGCGACACCCACCACCACCACCACCCAAAGAGCCGCTACCCGCTGCCCGCTGCCCGCTGCGTGCTGGTTGCGAAGCGAGGCGACGATTTAGCACGGCGACGATTCTGCACGATCCCTACCCGCCGCTACACACCACGGCCCCCGCACCCCAAGTCGAGGAAAAGCAGCCGCCGCGCAAGTCGGAACAGGAGACGGGACGCGCACTCGCGGGGTTGCTGTTGGCCCCGGCGAAGAGAGGGAGAAAGGCGGAGGGAGGAAGAGGAGAGAGACAAGGAAAGCGAGAGGCACAAGGGAAGGTGAAACAGGTGGATGTGAACCAAGGCACCGACGAGATGCTAATCGGTGACCGCCCTAATGTCGACCGCGTGAGTTTATTGTTTGGAGGTAGAGAGCAGGAACGGGAGCGATTGGTTGAAACAGAATAGAAGCTTAGAGACGAAAAGGGCGGTTTCTGAAGGACAATTTGTATGCTCCAACGACGTTCAGCAATGAAAACGGACAAAGCATGAGGGCAGAGGCTATGGACCGTTGCGGAGAAATGGCTACCCTAATAAATGAGTGTGCGATGCGATAATTGTGCATTATTCACCTGAGTAGTGAAGTAAAATTGCTGCCTAAGTTACAGATCTGGATTGCGTGTGCCGCCCCCGCAACAATTCCATTTGTGGCACAATCAATTAATCCCGAATGTCGCCCTGCAGTCAGTCTCACCCTAATCCTACTCTTCAATATGATCAACTAAGCCGATTCTGGCGGTGGGAAGCAGCACAGGCGGGGTGCCGGCAGCAGCAGATCCAGGGAAGGCCAGCCCAGGAATGCTCTTAGGTCACAGAACAGGGGGGAGTGATGCAAAACACGGGCATAACAGTCAAAAACACGGGGAGGGGGGAGAAATGCAGAGGCGGGGGGGAAAGCGGGTGAAGCGGGTGGTTGGCGTGGCCGCCTGGTTCGTCGAAGCAGTGGCTGGACGAGAGCCGAGACGGAGAATGCTGTCCAATAGCAGGCAAGAGCACCGCGTTTGTTCTAGGGCGTGTGGGATTTTTGTTCGAACTTGTCAAAGTTCGAATTTCTACAACGGTTTTACACGGCAGAATACAGTCAAGAGTTGTTAAGCCACGGTGAAAAGCGGTTTGAGTTCGAGCTTTGACAGTTTCCCAAAAGTCGGTTAGGGCGGGTCCAACTCATCACACCTCAGCTCAATTTGGTCCCTTTTTGTAGGGTAACCGCGTCAATATTTTATTGAAATCAAACTGGATGACGCGATCGGTTTCCCAACTTGCAAAACAAGTCCCGTGCCAGATCACATTTCTCACTCGTAAATTTTTCGAAATTTTTGCAAACTGGGCAACTTTGACATTCCTAATCCGCAGCCTCACTAGCCGGTAACAGGGTGTACCAGATTCGAGCAAGTGATGTGCTGCTCGTTGATTGAAACGATTGGTTCTTAATACTCAAGTTACCCTAGTGACGACTTTCGTTTTCGCGAAACCCATTTGTTCTGTTCAATTCAGTTTGTGTGGGCGGGATGCTGGGTCCGCAAAGACCCTCCAGGACGTGGAACGTATTTGGGTTCGGATTGAGTGATCGTCACCCGAAAAGTTGGGATTTCGTTACGGAGGTGTGAAACCGCCAAAACGAAATGAGTATGACCCGCCCTTATTTTGAAAAATGTGTGTTCAGTATCGAGGTCAAAAACCGGTCCCCTATACCGAGCGCGACCAAGCATCCTTCAAACCGTGGGTAACCTCGCTATAGAGGGCTTCATTGCTTCTACGAGTTCTACAATCCACAAAATAACCGAAAAGAATGTGATTACAATTACTGGTATTCGTAAAATGCTAATGGCGACCTCGCAATACAGTGGAGTAATTATAACTCCTTGTACCACTTAAATCATGCGAGGTTTCCTAGATGGTGGCGTTATGGCATTTAAAGTACCACCGAATGTTATGAAGGTAGTACAGCTGCCTCGCACTTGGTTGAGCAACTTGAAGAACCCGCTTTCCCCTTCTGTTGCAGCTCCTTTCCCCAAGAATTCGCACCAACCGCACTTGTCAATGGGGAACGGTCGGAAGAAGCCAGGGGGGCAAAGGAGGAGGAGGAATGAAGCCCGAGGGGGGATGGGAGGAACCAGAGGAAGAGAGAGGGCAGGAGGGAAGGGATGAGGAGGAGGAGAACGGAATAGGCGAGAGCCATGTGGATGGCGGACACCCAGGGAGGGTGTGGAGATGGAAACATGCCTGTAGGTGGTCAAGGGGGAAAGTAGGGCAACGGGGGGAGATAAGGCCAGGGTGGGAGTCGGAAGAAGGATAGCAGAGGTGAGACGACTCAATGAGAGCAGGAGTTGCGTGACTGCGGCCGCTCGGTTGAACGGTGATTGGCACCCGTGAGAAGGCAAAACGGCAAGGTAGGGGGTGGGTGGCATGGCATGGCATTGCATTGCATTGCATGGCATAGAACGAGCACGCATGGCATGGTAAGATCCACATGCCCTTCTTGCAACGCATTCGAGATTTTTTAGAAGTGTACATGTAAAAAAGCACAATGAGAGGCACTGTAGGCACATACCCTGGCAGAATTTGAGGGAGACTAGAATCTCGGAGAGGCAGAGCAGCAGAGCGAGGATGAGGAATGGCATGCCCCTGATGGGATGGGTTGGGTGCAGGCGGCGGTGAGAGCAGATGGGAGGAAGGAATGAACAAGGCAGACGGCATAGATGGAATGAGCAGCATGCAAGCGTGGGTGCCTTTCAGGGCGCATGTCAACAGGCAGAAATCACCGGAGCAAGCAGCCTGGTTCCTTCCATGCACGCTGCAAAATGGTCAAACACCGGCATATGAAGCGCTATATTGCCCAGCCACCCCAGCCCCCCCCAAACCCCCCCAGCCCCCCCAGGCCCTCCCCCCTCCCCCGTCCCCCCCACCCATCTCACTCATCCTCCTTCCTTTGATGCTCCCCTTCACCCCGCCCTCCTCCATTCTCCCCCGCCGTCCTCCCCCTTGCCCGCCCTGCACCAGACGCCGAGGGGCACGGGCAGGCGAGGGCGGGCGAGTGCAGGAGAGAGTGCAGGCAGTGTGCGGCGGGGAGGGAGAGAGCAGCCCAGAGGCAGAGCCGGAGGGAGTTGAAGGGGTGCAGTGGCGGCAGCGCGAGGCAGTGCTTGAGGAAGAAGGCACAGAGGTCCGCTGCTAGCACTAGGAGGAAGAGCAGTGCTGCCTGCAGGGGTGGGGGGAGTTGGGGGAGGGGGGAGAATTTTGAGTCGTCTTAATAGGAGCGGCAGGGCAATGGGCGAGGCAGTGCTTTAGGAAGAAAGCGCAGAGGTCCGCTGCTAGAACTAGGAGGAAGAGCAGTGCTGCCTGCAGGGGAGGGGGGAGTTGGGGGAGGGGGAAGAATTTTGAAACGTCTCAATGGGAGCGGCAGGGCAATGGGCGAGGCAGTGCTTTAGGAAGAAAGAACCTAGGAGAAAGGGGGTGAGAAGAGCGATGTGAGTGAAAGCAGGGAGGAGGGCGAGATGTACAGGTGTTTTCAGTCAAGGTTCATAACAGGTTTGGTTTGGTACGGACCACAAGGGACTGGCGAGTGGCGGCGACCAGATGCGGAAAGGAGGGTGCCTTGTGGGCGATGAGAGAGGAGACGCCAGTGAACCAATCAAAGCGCGGCATGTGGAATGCTTGGAGAAGCCAGAGGCCCACCTCCATGCCTGAGGAGGAAGAGGGTTGGGTGAGGAGGGGGAGGGGGGAGAGGAGGGGGGAGGAGGGGGAGGAGGGGGAGGAGGGGAAGGAGGAAAAAAGGTTGGCGAGGGTGGGAGGAGGAATGGAGCAACGGGGTGTTGGTTGCAGGTTGGGAGAGTGAGAACGTGAAGGAAGGCATATGGTTGTAAGAGGCGGGTTGGTTATCACGGGAGCGAGCACGTGGCATGGTTCACAACTCAAAAGGAGCTCCACTCTCTGGGCTGCAGTGCAGTGCAGTACAGTGAGAAGGGAGTGAACGGGCGGTGGGTGTGAGGACGAATGTGCATCGTGAGAGAGATTCTCCTCGCCATGGAGCTCCATTCCCTCTGCCCTGCTGCTTGTGGCGCGGGTGGCGCAGGATGTGATGCCACGGACTCGTGGAGCAGGTGCTGTTGTTGCATGGCACGGTGTGCAAGGGCATGAAGACAATGGCACGGCATGGCACATGGCAGGGGAAGGCAGTGCAGTGCAGAGCAGGGAGGTGGCAGGGACGGACCGAGAGTGTTGCAGAGCATGATGTCGAGGATGATGGAGTCCCACCAGCACTCGTTGAAGTTGGGTAGTAGATGCCGGTACATGCGCTGCATGGGGGAGCAGGGGCGCAGAGGGAGCAGAGTACGGTGGGGAGGAGAGTGGGGGAGAGGAGTGAGGGGGAGAGGAATGAGGGGGAGAGGAATGAGGGAGACATGGGTGTGCATTGGCATTGCAAGGAAGAACAGGAGAGATAGGGGTAACGACGCAAATGGGTGAGGGCGGACAGGGCAGGCGAGAGGAAAAAAAGTGCGGGGTACCAGGAGTGAGAGGGGAGAGAGACGGCAACAGGAGGCTTGGCTTGGGCAGCGGGGAGGCACGGAGGTCAGTGAGTGCAACGGCGGGGAAGAGCCTCGCTGCCTAGAGAGTGAGTGAGAGTGTGCATATTGACTCAACATGCACGTTGTGGGTGAACTGAAGAGTCACCTCGGTGAGTTCGAAGGCAGTGGAGAGCAGCAGCAGCATGCGGCGGTCTCGGATGATGAGCGCCTTGGCACACCACCCCACCGCGTGTGCCACTGTGAACTCGTCCCACACCGTGACCTGGTGCACACAGAGAAGCGGAGGGAAGGGGAGAGACGGAGAGGGAGACAGGGGGCGGGGAGATAAGGGAGGAGGTGTGGACAGGACTGTCAAGACCCTAAGGCATTGGCGTGCCAGGAATGCTTGTGGATGCGCTTAAGAGTGAGTGGGGACGAGAAAGGACACGACACAATGACGACCGAGCAGGATTGGGAGTAAGAAGAAGGGCGGAGTGCAGCAACGGGTGCGAGGCAAGCTCACCATGACGTTGTGCATCTTGTGGGGCTGCTCCCATGTGAACACAACACAACACACGGCAGTCCTTTAGCAGTGCCTCTACAACTCGTCTCTATAGGCTATATACCCGCAAGCTTGAGTTGACTGAAAGCTCAGCTCACCATGACGTTGTGCATCTTGTGGGGCTTTTCCCATGTGAACACACGGCAGTCCTCCGCATACGACCGATCCTTCTTGCCCTCCTCAACTAATTCCCCATTCCCATGTACATGGGCGTTCTTATTCCCATGCCCATGCCCATGCCCATTCCCATGCAACCCATGCTGTCCCTCCAACTCCCTCCTAAAGCCAGCAAGGTCAGCAAGACTCCCAGCGGCACATGTGTCCACCACGCAGCAGTCGCTGCTGCATGAACCATTGCTGCCTCGCCCCACCACACACCCAGGCGCGGCCAGTGCAAGGGGCGTGGTGCAGTAAGAGGGTGGTGCGAGCAGGGGCGAGGGTGGGGGAGATGAGGTGAGGGAAGGGCGCGCAGGGGAGAGAGTGCGGGGCAGCAGGTGGAGGGCGGAGAGGAGGGAGGCTCTTGCATCGTGGCGGGTGGGGGCCTGCACGGCACGCAGGGAAGGGGTTTTAGGGCATGGTATGGGCGGGGGGGAGGTGCGGGGGGGTGGGTGGGTGTATGTAAGGGCGGGTAAGCCAGAGAATGCGAGCATCTTAGCATAGGAAAATAAAGATCAACATGCTGCTGTGATTTTATGGAACCAGGCAATTGATGTGTTCATGGATACATACACAAATATACACACACATATTGGAATGTGTAGTGTTTTTAGTCGCCTTAACACGAATTCATAAATACATATACGAATATATGCAGATTCAAACGGGACATAGATAGATATGCATGATACAGGTTGCTGTGCTGCCAACGTGTACTCGTGTTTGGTGTGGCATGGTGTGGTGTGCTTCGTAAAAGGAACAACAGTACGTGTGCTCACCAGCAGGAGCATGGAGAGCAGCTGGAGCAGATACAGGAGGGCTAGCAGCAGCACGCACAGCCGCACAGCTGCGGACGCCACACTATGAAACCCATGCCTCTCACTGCCCCCTTTTCGCTGCTGCTCCTGCTGCCCCTTCTGCCCCTTCTGCCCCTGCTGCTCCTCATGTTGCTGCTGCCCCCGCTGCTGCTTGTGGTGCTGGTGGCCAGAGGAGCACGTGCCACCATGGGTTGCCACTTCATGGATCGCCTTCACCTCCCCGCCACTGCCTTCCACCTCCCTGCCCTGCCGACAGCACTCCAGCCCACACACGCCATTGACGCTGCTCGCAGGGGTGGCAGGTGCACACAGTGGGACAGCAGCAGAGGGCGGCATGGGAGTGTCCCGCGCTGCTGCTGGGTGGTGCGGGTGATGCGTGTGCTGCAACTGGCTTCTGCTGGGGCTGTCGGTGAGAGGGAGTGCGAGGGGGGGCGGCGTGGAAGTGAGGGAGTGAGGGAGTGTGGAAAATTTAAGGGTGGGCATAGCAGTGCTGATGTTAGAGTGCAGTTGTGACTGTGGGCTAAATGGGAGCGTGAGAGTAAGGAGGGAAATCGCATGAGGCGAGAGCAGGATTCTTGCATCAGACTCATGCCACATGGCCCATGCCACATGCCACATGGCCCATGCCACATGCCACAAGCCTATGCCTCATGCGCCATGCCCGCTGTCTCTACTACATCCCCTCCTGGCCCACTCACCCCTTCATCTCTTCTACCGAGGCAACCAATCTCGTGTCGCCACGTGTCCCCGGACAACAGCAATCCACCTCCGCCAATTTCTCGTCCACCACCCTCCGATCTCCGCCGATTATTCCGCCGCTTATCCCGCCATCCCCCGCGTCTTTCCCCGATACCGTCCGCCCTGGCCGCGCGCCCTCCCCTTGAATCCCTTCCCCATGCGCCATCGAGCAACACGCCTTCTGAGGCGCTTTATAACGCGGATGGACGTAAGGCGTGGCGCAATCGACGCCTACAAACGCGGATGCTTCACCACTGTGCGTAGCGTTATCGACGCTGGTAACCAGCCAACCGTTTTCGAGAAACGCCTACGCGAAGAATCACGGGAGAAGCAGCAGCGAAAATGCACGTGGAAGGAGGGGCTTGTGGGGAGAGAGAAGAGGTGGGGAATACAGCACGGCACATTCATCTGCTCTCGCCTTCCGCAGCACGTGGGGATGAGCGCTGAACTGTTCGCGCGTGCGCAGTGGCGAACGCGGGGAGCGCAAAGGCGGCGGCATTAGGAGCGGATTCCGCGGGGCTCGCGAGAAGCGCGGGGTTTTTGAGGAGACCGGGACGGTTTGTTCGATGGATTTGAGAATGAGGCCGGGCGGGTGTGGAGCCACGTGAGTGACAGGCATTGAAGCACACGACTCGGACACATGCACTGGTGTGTTGAATGGACGAGTGGATGTGACAGCTCATGGTGCGTTATGAGCACACTCCTATAATAATTTTACAGTTTCACTGAAAAAATGGAGACTTGCTTCGTGAACTAAACTCGAGTGCGTTATTTTATTAGAGCAGAGACAAAGAAATGCAGATCCATCTCAATGAAAAAAACAAAATGATAAGGTGAGCAGTTTTTCCCATAGGGGAAACCCGTAAGGTTATGCTATTTAATAAGAGAACGTATTCCAAAAAAATAACAATTTCATATAGTATTAATGACCTTCTGAGTCTTTCATAATAAGTAGATATTGCAGATGGCATGTGAAGTGTTCGCCAATGGTTTTAAAACTATTTACAAGTGTAGGTAATAGTCATTTTATCTAAAGAAAATATGATAGTGGTAACACTTTCGGGACTCAATAACGCGTACGTGGATTCTCAAGAAAGATGCACCTCCCTTCACCCAAACTCCACGTTTGGATTCCCGCCAATCGTCTCGTCAATTTCTGGGCTGAACATCGCACTCTCGGATGTTCCAGATTCTACCTCGTCTGCGTTTCTAAACGACACATGCTCTATACCTGCAGTACAGAAGCGTTGCGGTTGCGGCTCGTCCCTCAATTGCTAGTTAATCGCGTCCTACTAGCTGCCAATTCCAGAGGATTGGGGCCGCTGGAAAGGAAAGCCCGCGAGCGCGGCCCGAGTCCGCCACAACGACGCCGTCGAAGCACATGCTTGTGGGGTCCTGTCGACGACACAATTGGCCCATCGCATCATAACTCGCAAGCGCTCTTCCAGATCGCAAATTACGCTCAAATCACTCGCTCCCGATCTTCTCCCGTAAATGCCTCCGCCGTCGGACGTTCGATCGCGGTCAAGCGCGTTAATACCACCAAGTCATCGCTCCTTGCCTGCTGTGGTGCAAAGCAATTGCTAGTAGCTCGTAATCGTCGACGTGGTTCCACCATCACCACCTCCGCTCATTCTTCCCTCGCCTCGCGGGCCCTCGCCGCCGAGTCCGGCGCGGCGGGGCTCGGCGCGCAGATGGAGATCTTCTATTGGCTGGTGTTCGCGGCGCTGCTGGGGCTATGCGTGGCGCTAGAGGCCACTAAGGGGCAGCGCGACCGCGTGGTCACGTCTCAGGCTTTCGAGGCGTTTAAGAATAACTACCTCGTTATATACTGCTTCATGATGGGTGCGTGTGTCGCGTGGTGGGTGCGCGTGTCGCGTGGTGGGTGCATGTGTTGCGTGGTGGGTGCGTGTGACGCGTGGTGGGTGCGTGTGTCGCATGGTGGATGCGTGTGTCGCATGGTGGATGCGTGTGTCGCATGGTGTGCACATGTCCGCAAGTCAAACCTGATGCTGCTCATAATCGCTGTTGCAGCCAGCGACTGGCATGACCTCGTTTCACTGCGGATTAAAGCAACTCCCCGACCATGCCCTCTCAGCCTTAATCCCACAACAATTACGCACCTTTGCCTCCTTCTTCCTTCCCGCTCCCTCCCACTCGCGCACTCCCTCTCTTCCCTCTCCATCCCTGCACCTCTACCTCTCCCCGTGGCTGTTTCGTCTCTCTCGTGTGTGCCGTGCCATGAGCAGCGGGCGACTGGTTGCAGGGCCCATACGTATACGCATTGTACCAGCACTACGGGTACTCGCACACGGAGATCGGGCGGCTCTTCGTCGCGGGGTTCGCGTCATCTATGGTGTTCGGGACCGTTGTGGGGTCCCTGGCCGACCGCCAGTGAGTGCCGCGCGAGAGATGGGCAAGAGACGATAACTGTGGGGTTTAAGATGTTACCTCATTACCTAGGCTCCTGAAAAGTTGTCTATGGTGTTCGGGACCGTTGTGGGGTCCCTGGCCGACCGCCAGTGAGTGCCGGGCAAGAGATGATGATTGAGACGCCTCAGAAATCGTTTTTTTTTAGGCGCCTCAAAAGTCGTCCATGTTGTTTGGGACCATTGTGGGGCCACTGAACGACTGACAGTGAGTGCCGGGCGAGGGAGGCAAGGAGGAGGGCAGGAGAGGCAGGAGAGGGCAGGAGAGGGTAGGGAGAGCAGGGGAGAGCAGGAAAGAGCGGTAGAGAGTGGGAGAGAGGAAGAGAGATCAAGAGAGAGGAGAGGGCTGGAGAGAGAGGTATGGAACGGGAAAGAACAGGAGAGAGCAGGAGAGGGCAGGAGAGCGGGAGCAAGAGAAAGCAGGAGACGGCAGGAGGGAGCAGGAGAGAGCAGGAGAGAGCAGGAGAGAGCAGGAGAGAGCAGGAAAGTGCATGAGTGGGCAGGCAGGAGGGGGCAGGAGAGAGCAAGAGAGAGCAGGAGAGTGAGCAGGAGTGAGCAGGAGAGAGCAGGAGAGGGCAGGAGAGAGCAGGAGAGAGCATTGTGTGGGGAGTAAAGCATGGTTTCCTGTAGTTTTCCCTCTCCTCTTGGGTGGCTCGTGGGCTTTCCAAGTCTCTCTCGCGTTTCATTTCATCATTCGCCCTCGGCAAGGCCTCCACTCCACTCACACACACCTCTCCTTCCCCATCTCTTCTGCCCCCCTTCCCATCCCCCTTACCTCCCTCTTTCCCCTCCCGTTCCCCTCTCCGTCTCCGCCCCGCCCCTCTCCCTCTCCCCCCCTGGCAGTGGGCGGCGCAATGCGAGCATAACGTACTGTCTGGCGTACATCCTGTCGTGCCTCACCAAGCACTCGCCCGAGTACCCCGTGCTCATGGCGGGCCGAGTGCTGGGCGGCATCGCCACCTCGCTGCTCTTCTCCGCCTTCGAGAGCTGGCTCATTGCCGAGCACTGCAAGGTGGGTGGTGGGCATGCATGGGGAGAGGGGAGAGGATGGGGGAGGGGAGGGGAAGGGGAAGGGGAAGGGGAAGGGGAAGGGGAAGGGGAAGGGGAAGGGGAAGGGGAAGGGGAAGGGGAAGGGGAAGGGGAAGGGGAAGGGGAAGGGGAAGGGGAAGGGGAAGGGGAAGGGGAAAGGCATCGCCACCTCGCTGCTCTTCTCCGCCTTCGAAAGCTGGCTCATTGCCGAGCACTGCAAGGTGGGTGGTGGGCATGCATGGGGAGAGGGGAGAGGATGGGGGAGGGGAGGGGAAGGGGAAGGGGAAGGGGAAGGGGAAGGGGAAGGGGAAGGGGAAGGGGAAGGGGAAGGGGAAGGGGAAGGGGAAGGGGAAGGGGAAGGGGAAGGGGAAGGGGAAAGGCATCGCCACCTCGCTGCTCTTCTCCGCCTTCGAAAGCTGGCTCATTGCCGAGCACTGCAAGGTGGGTGGTGGGCATGCATGGGGAGAGGGGAGAGGATGGGGGGAGGGGAAGGGGAAGGGGAAGGGGAAGGGGAAGGGGAAGGGGAAGGGGAAGGGGAAGGGGAAGGGGAAGGGGAAGGGGAAGGGGAAGGGGAAGGGGAAGGGGAAGGGGAAGGGGAAAGGCATCGCCACCTCGCTGCTCTTCTCCGCCTTCGAAAGCTGGCTCATTGCCGAGCACTGCAAGGTGGGTGGTGGGCATGCATGGGGAGAGGGGAGAGGATGGGGGAGGGGAGGGGAAGGGGAAGGGGAAGGGGAAGGGGAAGGGGAAGGGGAAGGGGAAGGGGAAGGGGAAGGGGAAGGGGAAGGGGAAGGGGAAGGGGAAGGGGAAGGGGAAGGGGAAGGGGAAGGGGAAGGGGAAGGGGAAGGGGAAAGGCATCGCCACCTCGCTGCTCTTCTCCGCCTTCGAAAGCTGGCTCATTGCCGAGCACTGCAAGTTGGGTGGTGGGCATGCATGGGGAGAGGGGAGAGGATGGGGGAGGGGAGGGGAAGGGGAAGGGGAAGGGGAAGGGGAAGGGGAAGGGGAAGGGGAAGGGGAAGGGGAAGGGGAAGGGGAAGGGGAAGGGGAAGGGGAAGGGGAAGGGGAAGGGGAAGGGGAAGGGGAAAGGCATCGCCACCTCGCTGCTCTTCTCCGCCTTTGAAAGCTGGCTCATTGCCGAGCACTGCAAGGTGGGCCGTGCACAGGGAGGAGGAGGGGAAAGAGCAGGGTGGGGATGAGGGGGGAGGGGGGGTTGTGAGGGGTGGGTCTGGGACGGGGGATCTCTGCTGATGGTGTGCCCCTTATTGCCTCTTTGTATCGTCCCTGGCCCTCTCTTCCCCATTTGAGTCGTGTATCAGCCTGCTTGCAGAGTCATTAGTGGCTCCAGATTTGCCAGTCAACCCACTCGCCACCCGTACACCCGGCCCCGGTCTCAAATGCTCCTATCCCACCCGCTTATCACTACACGCCAGCCCCCCAAATGCTGCTGCCTACAGTCTTTCTCCCCCCACCACTCCCACCGCAGCCCCCTCTTTCTCCACCACAACCCCCATTCCCCTGTCACTCTCTCTCCCCTCCCCCCCTCACAGCGCGGGTTCGAGCAGCAGTGGCTATCAGTCACATTCTCCCAGGCAGTCTTCCTGAGCAACGGACTAGTGGCCATCCTCTCAAACCTGCTACTAGCCAACAGTCCATCTCCCCACGCCCCACCACACCCACCGCCACTCCCTCCCTTCCTCTACCACACCCCCCCTCTTCCCCCACCCTCTCTCTCCCCTCCCCCTCTCACAGCACGGCTTCGAGCAGCAGTGGCTATCAGTAACCTTCGCCCAGGCAGTATTCCTGGGCAACGGGCTAGTGGCCATCCTGTCCGGTCTCCTGGCCAACACGCTAGTGAGCGACCTGCGCCTGGGGCCTGTGGCGCCCTTTGATATTCCTCCCCATATTCCACCTCCCACACCCCCTTCCCCCCGCCCCGCCCCGTCTCATCCGCCACCCCCGTCACAGCGCGGATTCGAGCAGCAGTGGCTATCCGTAACCTTTGCCCAGGCAGTATTCCTGGGTAACGGGCTAGTGGCCATCCTCTCGGGTCTGCTAGCCAACACGCTCGTGAGCGGCCTGCGCCTGGGCCCTGTGGCGCCCTTTGATGCCGCGGCCGTGCTGCTGGCGGTGGGCATGACGGGCATCATGAGCACGTGGGGGGAGAACTACGGGGATACGAACGAGAGCAAGGGGCTGATTGCTCAGTTCAGATCCGCTGCTGCTACCATCCGAGAAGGTAAAAGGGAGCGGTTGCTGGGATGGGGGTTCTGGGATGGGGGGTGCTGGGATGGGGGGTGCTGGAATGGGGGATGCTGGGAGGGGGGGTGCTGGGAAGTCTGGGACATGGTGCGCACGCGTATTTCTTTGCACTGCCAGACTCTCTAACTCTCGCCTCAAGTCCCAGCACTCTTCTTTTAATATTCCATCGTCAACCCGATGCCCCCCCCGTTCTCCGCACCCCTCTTTCACCTCAAGTCGCCCCTTCACCCCAACCACATCACCTCCTCCATTCACTTTTCATATCCCTCCTCCCCCACCCTCCTCCCCCTCCCCCACCGTGCTCCCTCTCCCTCCACTCCCCTGCCTCCACCAGATGAGAAGAATGCTCTACTAGGCACCGTGCAGGCACTGTTCAAGGCTACCACATAGAGGTGACTTCTGAGTCGACTCAAAAAGGCGATTTTTGAGTCGACTCAAAAGTCACTGTTTGAGGCTACCACATACACCTTCATCTTCCTCTGCACATTCGTGCTACCCCATCCCTGTCCCTATGTGTTCCGTCCCCAAATTCCCCTCAACCAGACGAGAAAATCTTTCTCCTAGGTGCCATCCAAGCACTGTTCGAGGCCAGCATGTACACATTCGTGTTCCTGTGGACGCCCGCCCTAGCGCCCGCCTCGCAGCGCATCCCCCACGGGTTCATCTTCGCGTCCTTCATGCTCGCCTGCATGATCGGCACCTCCCTCGCCTCCCGCCTCCTCGCCCGCGCCGCCACCGCCACCACCACCACCACCACTATCACCACCACCACCTCCTCCTCTTCCTCCTCTGCCGCATCTGCCTCTTTAGTTCCCTCCTCGTTCGCCTCCTTCTCGCAGCAGCTGGTGCACGTGGAGGGGTACATGCAGGTGGTGTTCCTCGTCGCTGCTGCTGCGCTATCTGTACCGGTCTTCATCCATGTGAGTCGACTAAAAAATCGATTCTTTCTCGCAGCAGCTGGTGCACGTGGAGGGGTACATGCAGGCGGTATTTCTGGTCGCTGCTGCTGCGCTCTCCGTGCCTGTATTCATCCATGTGAGTGTTACTGTTACCGTTGCTCTCCGCCATGTTCCGCCATGCAGCGCCCCCGTTCCCCGGCCCCCCACTGCTGCGCTGCTTTTGATATAAGTGTGCCGCGCACAACTCTGCTCGTTCGCTCTCTCCGCACCCATGCCGTTGCAGCGCAAACCCCACGCTTGCCCCACACAGTGGCTCATCTCCCCACCCCGTGTGGCTCAATACATTCCTCACCCCGTGTTGGACTGCACTGCCTCCACCACCCTCCACCAATTCCCCATTGCTTCCCTCCTGCTTCACTCTCCCACTCCCTCCCCGTCCGGCTCGCCCCCCTCTTCCTCCCTCTCAGCACTTGACAGAACCAGCGCCACCAGGGAAAAGCAGCATAACAGCAGCGGGGCAGGTGCAGCTAGTATCATATCATTTTGTGTGTTTGAGGTGTGTGTGGGCGTGTTCTGGCCCTTGCTCATGACCATTCGCACGCACTTCCCCTCTCCCCTTACCCCCACTCCTCCCTCCCCCTTTCCCTCTCGCACCTGCCTCCTCCCTCACAGCACTTGATAGAACCAGCGCCACCAGGGACAACAAGCATCACAGCAGCGGGGCAGGTGCAGCTAGTATCGTTCTGTGTGTTTGAGGTGTGTGTGGGCGTGTTCTGGCCATCGCTCATGGCCATGCGTGCCCGCTACATCCCCGAGGAGGCCCGTGCCACCATCATGAACTGCTTCCGCATCCCCCTCAACATCTTCGTCTGCATTATGCTCTCCGATGTGAGTGCCCTTTTGGCCATGTGTTGCTTTGTGATCTTTGAGTAGACTTTAAAAACGCGTGCGTTACCATTATGAGCTGCTTGTCTCTCAACATCTTCGTCTGCCCCATGCTCTCCGATGTGCGTGCTGTGCCCCTGAGCCCATGAGTTTGCAACAACATGCAATTTGTTCTATCCACGCCTCTCTTACTTCCCTCATCCGCTGCTCTACCCCACCTCTTCTCCTCTCCTTATAATGGTGCAAGCACTGTAACTCCAGTGCACTTCCCCTCCTCTCCACCCTTCTTGCACACCTTCATACACTCCCTACCTTATCCCCATCCACCCGCAAGGGCATCGCGTCCCGTTGCTCCCCTCCACCTGCCCTACTCCTACCCCCAACTCTTCATCCATCAAAATTGCCCTTCCCCCCCCTCTCAAGCAGGTGAGTGCAGGAGCCATGACACCCATGTTCGCCATGTGCTGTGCCTTCCTCACCATCGCTGCTGTGCTGCAGAGGCGCCTCATGCTGCTCACCAGCACGCCCGGTGCCGCCAAGACTGGATATGGTGAGGGAGTGCGAGATGGGAGTGAGCAATGGGAGTGAGCAATGGAGTGAGCAATGGAGTGAGCAATGGGAGTGAGCAATGGAGTGAGCACACAAGGCACATGGTACTGGTGGGGGTGAATTTGGGCTCTGAAGGTGAGCTGGGCTTGAGTGATCCTTTCTCTCATGCTGTCTGTGCATGTACTGGTACATGCAACACACAGCGCACGAGTATGTAAGGCCTCGCATACTCATGCTTGCATGCGCACATACATCTGCATCGCTCCGCACACGCCCTTGCATGCGAATTCAGGCATGTGGAAAGCATTCGACGGTTTCACTTCATTTTGTGTTTCTTCACTTGCGCTCCTTTTTGTGTCTGAACGGTATGCATATGCCCCCCTTACAGCACTCGTTGATACTGGCAAGGACTCTGATACAAGTGCAGACCTATGATTTGTGATAATAATGTAATGTCCTATGATGTAGTATCATCTATGCCATCACCTTGTAATTTTCTGGCTAGAAGTCTCACCAGTTACTGTGCACCCACAGGTGTTATGATGACCTGGGTTTCTATTGTATACTACGGTACATGGGATTCATTGACACGTCTCTGTATCCAACTCTACCTACGGTAGTAGCACACACATTCTCAACACCCTGGGCCTATAATACAAGTGGTGGGTGTTGTATTATGACAGGTTTCCACAATGGAATTCACACGGGGGGAGGGGGGTGCGTCCACATACCGTATGGGACAGCACTGCAGAGCAGAGTTACTGCCTTGCTGAGGAGATTCTCCTATGGCAGGTTTATTTGCTGAAGCAGTTGCTGAGCCGCAACGACTGAGGCAAGGTACGGTAGGTGGCTGCCAGTGCCTTCGAGATACGGTCGATGATGCCCAGACCTCCCAAACAGATTGGTAACGTCGCGTGACGCCAGAACAAACTTTGCCTCCAGTTCACGGGTGGGGTGGGTATGCGCAGTTTCGCCGCAGTGAGGGCTGATTCCAACAATTCCCCGCTCCATTCTCTCCACCGCTCAACTGGCAGAGTCTGCGCGGGGGTAGTTTGAATGTGAAGCAGGTAGGAGATTCTGTTGAAATATATTTCTTATATAAACTGCTTGTAGCAGTATGTGCTGCATATTGTCTAGGCTGTAGTGGGGTAGCCCATATGGGGTACAACCTAGTTAGGGTTTACTACTTGTACTCCTGCATCCTGTTAGTTCATCCATTCCTGCTGCTAGATTCTAACATGGTTTCAGAGCACTAAGGTCCGTAGGACCGTTTTTTTTTTCGGGCCCACCTACCGCTGCGGTTACCGCGCTACCCCACGTAGCCTTGCCTTGCCTTGTATGCCTTGCCTTGCCTTGCCTTGCCTGCGCGCTGCCCCTAGAGGCCCGTAAGGCCCGCGCGCCGCCTCTACACGCCTGTCGGGCCCGCACACACGCTGCTACCGCGCGCTGCCCGCACCGAGATCGCGCAGCCCGCCCCGAGTCGCGCGCAGCCCGCTGCAGCCACGCGCAGCCCGCACCGAGCCGCGCGCAGCCCGCTGCAGCCGCGCGCAGCCTGCACCGAGCCGCGCACAGCCCGCTGCAACCGCGCGCAGCCCGCACCGAGCCGCGCGCAGCTCGCAGCTGCCGCGCGCAGCCCGCGCCGAGCCCGCGCAGCCCGCGTCGAGCCGCGCGCGGCCTGCTACGGCCTCGCGCAGCCCGCGCGCGGCCCGCAGCAGCTCGTGCCGAGCCGCGCGAGGCCTGCTCCTGCCTCGCACGGCCCGCGCGCGGCCCGCAACAGCCCGCGCCGAGCCGCGCGCGGCCCGCTACTCCCTAGCGCGGCCGCGCGCGGCCCTTTGCCTCGGCCCCGACCTGCCGCTGACGCGGCCCCACCCTGCTACTGCCGCTGACGCGGCAGCGCCCTCCAGCTGTTTCGGCCCTGCTCTGCAGCCGGTTTTGCGGCCCCGACGTCGCCGCTGTCGTGCGCCTACTCGAGCGCCGGCCCTGCTCTCCCAGCCTTTGGTGAGCGCCTGCCTGCCTGCCTGACGGCCTGCCTGTCTGCCTGCCTGCCTGCCGGCCTGGCTGCCTGCCTGCCTGCCGGCCTGCCTGCCTGCCTGCCTGCCTGCCTACCTGCCTGCCTGTCTGCCTGCCTGCCTGCCTGCCTGCCTGGCTGCCTGCCTACCTGCCGGCCTGCCTGCCTGCCTGCCTGCCTGCTTGCTTGCCTGCCTGCCGCGCCTGCCTTTCCTGCGCTACTGCTACTGGCAGGTGGCCAGATGCAGCTCCAGCGACATTCACGCGAGCCTCTGACGCCTCAGCAGCTTAGTGAGTGGTATACTAGCTGGGGTTGTCGCGGTAGCCGTCGTAGCTGTCGCCCTGGAGCTGGTCAGTTGGGAGCGTCTGGCAGTGGCCAGCTGCAGCTGCAGGGACGTCCACGTGAGACACTTACGCCTCGGCAGCTCCAGGAGTGGTACGCTCAGTGTAGCAGGTCTACGCGTACAGTCCGCTGCCCGTACGTCATTCGCACAGGTGCTAGGACTGGTCAGCCTTGTGGGACGCTTGGTCACACACAGTCCCGCTGCTTCGCCCGTCTGAGCGACGACTGGCGCACAGTGTTTGGCGACGAGGCTGAGCTCCCCACCTGGCTGGAGCTGCATGGACAGAGGGTAGATATCTTTGCGCTTGACTATGATGCTATTCTCACTGCCATGTATGCATTGCCTACTAGTGCTGATCGTGCCTGTTATCTGTGCGTACCGCCTGACCCTGGTGAGGCTGCTGCTCTAGGTGCTAGTGCGTCTCCTGCTCTAGGTGCTGGTGAGGCTGCTGCTCTCGGTGCTAGTACGTCTACTGCTCTAGGTACTGGTGAGGCCGTGGCTTCAGGTGCTGGTGAGTCTGCTCTCTCTGGTACTGCGCCAACTACGGTCTCGCACACCTTCACCCTTGACTCAGGAGCTTCTCGCTCCTTCTTTCGCGACTGCACCACACTCACGCCGCTTAGTCGGCCAGTTCCAGTCTCCCTGGCGGACCCCTCCGGGGGTCCAGTCCTTGCCCACTACTCCACGGTTCTGCCGTGTCCGGCCGTCCCGTCCGGCTCGCTGTCAGGTCTTTACCTCCCCTCATTCTCTACGAACTTGGTGAGTGGAGCTGACCTCCAGGATCGGGAGGTTGACCAGTTCACTCCTGCGAGTCAGCGAGTGACTCACTGTACGTGTGCTAGGACGGGCCGGCACTTGGCCACGTTCACCCGTGCACCTGGCTCGAGTCTGTACACACTGACCACTGAGTCCCCTCAGGTAGCTGCGTCTGCGTTTGCGTCTGCGTCTGGTCAGCTGGCGGCCCCCTGCGAGTGTCGCGCTTTGTCGCACGACACTCTCCTGTGGCACCACCGCCTTGGTCACCCCTCCTTGCCTCGCCTGCGTAGCATGCACTCTCGCTCCCTGGTCTCTGGTCTTCCCAGGTCCCTGCCTGCCCTCCCTCCCTCGCCTGCGCCGCCCTGCATTCCTTGCGTCGAGGGGCGGCAGCGCGCCGCTCCTCACTCCTCCTCGTTTCCTCCCACAGAGGCTCCACTGCAGACGCTCCATCTGGACGTGTGGGGCCCAGCCCGCGTCCAGGGACAGGGCCGCGAGCGGTACTTCCTGCTGGTCATCGACGACTACACGCGTTACACCACGGTCTTCCCCTTGCAGAGCAAGGGGGACGTCCCTGCTGTTTTGATCCCCTGGATCCGCGCTGTTCGTCTCCAGCTCCGCGAGCGGTTCCGGTCGGACTTTCCTGTCCTGCGTCTGCACTCTGACAGAGGTGGTGAGTTCTCCTCCGACCTCTTGGCAGCCTACTGTGCGGAGCACGGCATCACCCAGTCGTTCACGCTTCCGGCCTCTCCGCAGCAGAATGGGGTTGCTGAGCGCCGCATTGGCTTAGTCATGGAGGTCGCTCGTACCTCCATGATCCATGCGGCTGCCCCCCATTTTCTGTGGCCGTTTGCGGTCCGGTACGCCGCGCATCAGCTCAACCTCTGGCCCCGTGTCTCCTTGCCGGAGACCTCGCCCACACTGCTGTGGACGGGGAAGGTTGGCGATGCGTCGCGTTTCCGGGTCTGGGGTGCTCGTGCCTTTGTCCACGATACCACCGCGGACAAGCTCTCCGCCCGCGCTGTTCCCTGTGTCTTCCTTGGCTTTGTCCCTGACGCGCCTGGTTGGCAGTTTTACCACCCCACCTCGCGCCGTGTCTTTGCGTCTCAGGACGTCACGTTCGACGAGTCGGTTCCCTTTTACCGTCTCTTCCCCTACCGCACTGCCTCGCTCCCCCCCCCGCCGCTCTTCCTTGCTCCAGGTGCTCCCCAGGTAGACCCCCTCCCCGCTCCCGGTCCTGCTCCTTCAGGTGTTTCTCAGGTAGACCCTCCTCCCTTGACTGCGCCGGTTGAGGTCACTGGTGACTCAGGTCCTCCTGCGAGTGGTCCTGCTCGGGGTGCTGAGCCTGGGGGTGCGGAGCCTGGGGGTGCTGAGTCTGGGGGTACTGAGCCTGAGGGTGCGGAGCTTGAGGGTGTAGAGCCTGGTGGTGCTGAGCCTGCGTGTGAGGGGTCTGGGGGTGCTGAGCTTGGCGGTACTGACGCTGGAGGTTCTGGAGCTACTGAGGGTGCTGGCGCTGGAGGTTCAGGAGCTGCTGGAGGGCCTAGTCCTGGTGGCGCTGGAGCTGGAGGTCCTGGAGCTGTTGAGGGTGCTCGCGCTGGAGGTTCTGGAGTCGCTGGAGGTACTGGTGCTGAGGGTACTGACACCGGAGGTTCTGGAGCCGTTGGGGGTGCGGGCGCTGAGGGTTCTGAGTCTGCTGTTGCGCGGTCTCCTTGGAGTGGCCGCCTTCGTCCCCGTGTGCCTCTCACCCCACAGCAGCTGCAGGACTGGTACGGTCGCCGTCAGCGTCGCGCTGCTGGAGCTCGGAGTCGTGCTGGTCCTTTGTCTACTGGAGGTGCTGGAGTTGCTGGTTCTGGAGGGGCTCGTGCTGGAGACACTGAGGCTGGAGACCCTGGGACTGGAGGTGCTGGCTCTGGGGGTGCTGCTGCTGGAGACGCTGAGGTTGGAGACCCTGGAGCTGGAGGTGCTGGTTCTGGGGGTGCTACTGCTGGAGACCCTGCGGTTGGAGACCCTGGGACTGGAGGTGCTGGTTCTGGGGGTGCTGCTGCTGGAGACACAGAGGTTGGAGACCCTGGGACTCGAGGTGTCGGCTCTGGGCCTGGAGCTTCTGGAGCTGCTGGAGGTACTGGAGCTGCTGGAGGTACTGGAGCTGCTGGAGGCACTGGAGCTGCTGGAGCTGCTGGTTCTGGTGCAGCTGCGCCGACACGACTGTTCTTCGCTCCGCCGTCTCCGTCGTCTCTGCCGCCGTCTGCCTCTGTTCTTCGTCAGGTTCTTACTCTTCCGTCGTCTACTGGTCTTCCGTTACAGACTGGCTCGCCGCTGCCTGCTCCTTCT